CAAGGTTCCAGGGCCTAGATTTTCGAAGCACTCTTTGCGCTAAGATAGTCGTAAGTGCCATACATTAACATTAACTTACGACTATCTTAGTGCTAAGAGAGCTTCGAAATTCTAGACCCAGGTCAATACCTCAACGTGAATACAGAAGTTTGCCCAAATCAAAAAAGCATTTTAGATCACTTTATGATTAACATTTTGAGATACAATATCAATATCGTAATTAGCATGAAAAATAGTTACAAAATGAGGAAGTACAAGATACAAAATAGGATTTGGCAAAGGTACCTTTGGACTCATTGCGTTTCCAAAAGAACTGACTACACGGGGATCAGGTGATCAGGCACTGCGAATAGGCTGCTTTCATATTATCATTTCTGATGGCCTGGACCGTTCCTAATTCTTTCAGGTACAAAGTTTATCAGGTCTTGATTTAATTGGAGGATGTTATGGTATGGTTGGAACATTACATAATGTGATGTTTAACAACCATAATCATTCCATGAATGTCCCCTGTGACTTGAGATCTCAACAAGCTAAAGTCCGTGTATTCCAGTTTCCAGGCCCGACAAACTACTCAATGGCCGGGAGAACATACAGATACTACGAAAAGGATCCACTGTACCCTTTCGGCTACGGCCTCTCCTACAACGATTTCTCCTACAGCAGGCTACGGAACACCAACGTTGTAAAGGCAGGGGAAGATGTCGAGGTCTCCATTATGCTCGAGAACACAGGGAAATATGAGGGTGATGAGGTCAGTGGAATCTATTTCAGTCTTCCTTTATTGTGATGCCCTTTGTCTCATTAGGTGTTTATTGCAAGAATTTTATGTTAAAATAATTACATTGTCTGTACTCGCAGACTCCCAGTTTCTTCTAGTCTGTCCCTCTTACTATTTGTGAATAGTTGAAGATTTTTGTCACAAAATGTGATGAAGCCTCTCGTTACATTTACTGTATTGATTTTTCCATCAAAAGGGATAAATATTGCAGTGTCAAAACAATTATTGATCTCTTTATGGTATTAATCATCATTTAAAAATAGGGTTTAGAAAATAAATATAATTGTTAGAAAAACATTGAACAATATGTTTTGTAAAAAGATCAAGGGCATACTGCGATTGTTAGTGGCTGTATCCTTAAAGCGGGTTAAAGAATTGTAAAAGTATTGTCCTCCTGAGGGTTCGCAAGTCCCAAAACCTTCAAAGTAGATTTAATCTCTTCACACTTTTTAATCGTAGAATATGTGTCATTTAATGTATGGCTAGATTTGTCATAATTGCTAACAGCTGAAGGGATGGTGTAAATCCATCTAGGGCCATGCAGGAAGCAAATGTACTGTAAGTCCCCATGATCTATAGTATGATGATCTACCTTCAGTTGTTGGCAATCTATTGTTCTCTTCAATAATATCGTTTGATGATAACATGCTAGTTTTACTTTAACATATGTGATACACTAGTAGTTTTACTGTTCTTCGTCAGCAGGCTATAAATTTCTTATTTCATTGCTCTATAATATAATAATAATTCATTGTTCTCGTCACGATTTGGCTGATAACATTTCTTATGACTTCTTTGATTGGCATTCTAGAAGTTGGGTAGATGAAGAATGAGGACTATTTTTATGGATATACAACTTCTTTATAGGCGACGTTTCGACATAGATTCTATTGTAGTTGTCAAACAACTTGGTTGACATATATTCTGATGTCGTTGTCAAGTTACATGAAGTTGTATATCCATAAAAATAGTCCTCATTCTCCTGAATTCTTATGAATTAAGAACAATTACACAATGCATGTCCGAAACGTCATTACACGAGAGAACTTACTGTAAATACTAAAACACAACACTCTTTTCACAAACAATTGCTGATAAATACCGAGTGGTTGTAAATATATATTTTTCTGGACAAAAACACATATACTTCCTTTACCGTCAGGTCCAGTAGACGTGCGCTCCATTACCACTTTTTATGCATGTATTAACTAATAAAATTCGTATCCCTTAACGCCTTCGTGGTCTGGTAGATACAGTTTTCGATCGGAGAGAAAAAAGTTGGTTCGATCGTCTACCGCTCCATACTTAAAGGACCGTAAAAGATGACACTTTTATTTACTCTGCCTGTTACTATGACGGATCATGATATCTCAATGGGCTGGCACCATGAAACTGCCATTGGTTCGGATTATTTCATACATGTAACACACGTAGGCTCCCACACAGGCTCGAATTTACACAAGCGACGTGGAATCCCATTTCATCTCCCCGCATGATAACCCTGACATGTGTTACGTTCAACGTTTGCAACTGAAATGAGTTCCCAAATCCCATGTATGTCAACAAGTCGCAAACAAGATGGATCATGGCTCATTTTTAATTCTACAGTAGAGGCGTACAGTGAGCACTGGCCATGTGATTTTAATGTCTCTATGTGCGTGAGATAGTGATATGACCATGTATCATGATACCATTGGTGCCTAATTGGTCAAACGGTGACTCGTTTCTCTGTGCAGGTTGTTCAGGTTTACATATCCTGGGACAACGCCAGTGTGCCAGTTCCACAACGACAGTTGGTTGCTTTCGAGCGTGTCACCGTTGGTGCCAGTGCTTTACAAGTAGTTACAATGACGGTGTCAGCAGAGAGCATGGCCGTTTGGGTGGACAGCTCGGGGTGGGTGATAGAGCAAGGTGAGTGACACTTGAATGTCCAGTAGCGTAGATCGATGTTCATGCTGTTGATTACTAGACTATTTGATCGAGACTCGATTATTTAGAGACCGCCGCCATATAGCTGGAATATTGCTGAGTGCGGCGTATAACTCACTCACTCATTCCAAACCGAGTTTTCTTTGCAGTTATGGGTAGGGTCGATGATGGTCGATTAAGATTTACAGGTATTAAATGAACGTTCCTCGTTGAACGTTGAAAGCCACACATTTCGTTTATCTTGGCATTATCCATCATGATAATTCTCTTCAGGTTACATCCGATTGTTTGTTGGTGGGCAGCAACCAGGTCAACAGAAATCTGCACCATCAGGCGTGATGGAAGGTGGATTCAAAGTCGAGGGGTCCAAGTATCTTGGCGTGTACTAAGACAAATCTCTTTTTTTTTCATTAATAAAATTGGTCTTGTTACCAAAACTGTCATTGCTATTCGTCCATTATTTCATTCAACCAATTGCAAGCACAAGATGATGCCGAGTACACAAACGTGGCGACAGGGAAAACATACGAGTTTCGTACTTTGGGCAATCGACTGTCTACGTCGTCTTATTCAAAGGAAGCAATTAATGTGACTACTTCATCCGCGGACAAAGTGAGATGTCCATTTATCTCAATCACACAAGATGATGTTCAAAGATTAGTTCAATGCTCAGGTATTTGGTGTTTTCTGGAATTAATCCTCGAATATATTTTCTATAAAAAGCAGAATAATATTATTCCGCTAACTGTTTGAAAACACGGAATTCATTTTCATCGGGATGATTATTATTAAAGAAACTGCCTGACAATACAAACCAGCATTAGAGGACGCTCAAATATTCACTTATCCCAAACAGATCCAAGTCCCAACATCAGCTCCATGACGTTATAAACCAGATGAGTATATGCTAGAGATTCCCATTCTAATACTGCAGGTCACATTAGAGACGCCGAGTACAATATGCTTGTCAGAAGAGTCAACTGACTGACATGAAGATGGTCGCAATGAGTGAACTGCCTGATAGGTTCATCGTGAAGTGTGTGGGTTGCTGTTCACAATTTTTAAGAAAACAATTAAAGATGTTTTATCCTCAAACCCATGTTTCCCTCATGAAGAATATCTCATTAAAACTAGTTAGCGAATTAACCGTTGTGAAATCTTTCAACTCGATGAATACAAAAACAGACGCGCCACAGCGCAGAATAAGATTTAATGGAATGATTACATTATCATTTTTCTGTAAAGTCTCAGTCATACGATTGAAAGTAAGGCAAGTCGGTCCGCCTGATCTAATGCCCTGTTTCCCAGATAAACTCGCAACCCAGATTTACATTTAGGTAACGTCAGCCAATAAAATCTACCGCTTTCTGAGAACAAAATGGCATCCATGGCGTGCAAATAAAAGAACTGCACACCTAAGCAACTATCTAGATATTCCAGTTCTGCAAGTGCCTTCTGCAATCGCCCAGTATAAGGATACAGAGACCAAAAGGACATGACTGACGTAAAGTGTGGTACAGTCTCTTGTTGACATAAACATCAACGAAACATGTAGAAAGGTTAGTCTCTCGTGTACAGAAATGAAAACAGGCGCACCTGTTATGAAACCCTATGCAAGTATGAATCAATAGCTGATATATATATTGGACAATGTATCATACAAATATAATCTCTGAAATATGAACGGACTTGAGCGTTAGTGGAACCATTTTGATATATACATATGGAAGGGTCAGATATATCATAACGTGTCGTGAAGCAGAGTGTTAGGTAAAGACTGTTTATGCATGTATGGCCAATGGTAAGACCTCTATCAAGTAGTTTTCACTGTGGAATATTCCTTTATGACTATCCACATGATCATTGATCAGTAAATGGTGGCTCAATTGTCCGAGCAGTTGACCTTTGTTTAGTGGCTTCAGAAATAGCCCGTTATATACTGTGATTGAGACGTCATACAAGCTGGGTTATTTTATCAAAGGTCTGTAACCTGATATGTGACAAATCATATATTTTGTTTACGCATCTGTGATTGGCTGTTTGAAAGACAGTCTTTGTATTGATCAGTACAATAATTTGTATAGTGATCATCCAGGAATTCAATCGTTATGTACAGTTATGGAAATGAACTCACTTCAATACTGGAACAGGTTGGACCAGTTTAAATGATCTATTTCCGACTATTCACTGTCACGTGATTTTGGTAACGTGCATGGTGCTAGAAATCAAGGACAAGACCAAGGTAATACTAGTTCCTTATCTGAGTGTTGCTTAAACCTTCTCTGTTCCAGCTGGACAGCGGTAGAAAGTCTACAACTGTTATCATGAACGGTGTTATATACGTATATGTCCTGATCTTCCAATGCCTCTTTGTGTTAGGGGATTATCCCTTCAGAAACACATCCCTACCCTGGGATGTGAGGGTAGAGGACCTTGTCGGGCGCCTCACCCTGGATGAGATGCAAGAACAGATGGCCCGAGGGGGACATGGGAATTTTGGAGGACCCGCTCCCCCTATCCCCCGTCTTGGTATCGGCCCCTACTCCTGGAACACCGAATGTTTGAGGGGGGACGTGGGGGCGGGAAATGCCACATCCTTCCCCCAAGCTCTGGGTCTAGCTGCAGCCTTCAGGTAGGATGTCTGATAGGGTGGATTCAATTTATATTGATGATCATCTGTACATCTAGTGGAGACACGTTAAACACAATCATTGTTTCCGAAAGGGAAAGAAAGGCCGAGGGGGGAGAGTTTAGACACAGGTAAACATGTGTACAACACCTTATGGGAGTTAAGATTTTTCTTGCAATACATATTTTATTTAGGAAGTGAACCCTGTTTCTGATGGAAATAAGATAAAGATACAATGAAGAAAAAAATAAATGTAAATTTCTGGAAATACATTTACTGTTTTCCCGGGGGAACTGTCCAGAAAAAACACAGAGACTTACAAGTACAAATAATTCGTTCCAACAAGGAACGTTGTTTTAAGTTTTTGATTTGTGTCAGATACCTTATCAGCGATAAGACTTCGGCAAATGGTAATTTAAAGAGGAGTGAAACACATTTCTCAACCCTTTCCAAAGAGTAATCACTTATAGATATAATACAGAATTGGGACAAAATCTAGGACATGGAGAAATGACACATATACACGTCACTGTGATTTGGTTTGCTCTTGCCAATATCTTGAACTGTTTTCAAAACTTTTGTAATAGTTTCATTGTCTTAGACCACACATTGCCATAGATACATCTTTTTATTTGTTAATTAACAGTTACTGATAACATATTCAGATGCAACATCACTGGTGGGTAATTTCTGTATATATTTTTAAAACGCTCTAGAACTAAACATACAAGTTTGCCGTATCAAGAATTTTTCTGGCTTCAATCGCATACAAATCAACAGCAACAATTTCGCCTGCTTGGCGGCCAAACACACCGACACGACATGAACGTGCAACATGAATTGTTGTCACAACTGCAGCACAGGAAAATGTTCATACTCACCACTGATACCTCTACAGAAATACCAGACATAAACCCCATTTATTGGATGCTCTTGAACACGTCAGTAACAGCCCCATACCCTCCAACAATTGGCTCAAGGTCTGCAGGAAGAGTGGGGTAACGTTCTACACTTGATCTGATCGGTTCCATAGTCTGGACTCTTATGGGTGGGAAGCAATCAAATGATTGAGTACAGTCGACTCTCACCTTGACATTCAATCGTTTCATGTGTGCAATGATGAACCTCGGTCGGTAACGATGACTTGTCCCAAACTAGAATAGTTTATTATGTTCTGCTGATTATTCATAGAATGCGACTATTGATTTCCATCCTTTGTCACCTGTGAATGTGTTTCGTGTGCACGTACGTGCGTGTGTAGTCATTCAGCTCACTTTCACAGGACATGACAATTCCAGAAGTGTATATTCACAGCAAGGATCTGATGTACCGTGTCGCTGAGGCCACCAGTGTTGAAGTACGGGGTAAATATAACGACTACATCAGCAAAAAAGAGTACGGCGACCACAAAGGCATCAGCTGCTTCAGCCCCTTCATGAACATCATGAGGGACCCCAGATGGGGACGAAACCAGGTCACACTTTTTCATCCTTACATTTATAATTTTTCAGCTGCAAATGATATGTTTCTGTTGGATGTGTTTTTATAGTAAAGTGTTTACACTAAACCACATGTTGACACCTCTCGGACATTGATACAGGATGTTGATAGTTGCAGCCGGAATAAACAGGAACATATATCATTTCATTAAAACATATAGCGTATAACGTGAAGAATGAAAGCGATTCTTTCATCAGTTTAGGGTGACAATGAAAAACAGTGAAGCTTCCGGTTGATGAGAGATCCATGTGTTTTGTCTGTTTGCACCCAACTGCTACTACGATGAAACAAAAGTATGTGTTCTGAAATCAGGAAGTGTATGGAGAAGACCCCTATATGACTGGTGTTTTGGCCGCAATGTCCGTGAAGGGCCTTCAAGGTAACGACTCGCGCTTCATCAGAACTAACTCTGGCTGTAAAGTCTTCGCCGCCTACGCTGGACCAGACAGCATCCCCGTATCGAGACACAATTTTTCAGCCGTGGTATGTATTATTCTTTTACAAAAGTCCGAAGAGGGACAACATAGCCATTTTACATGAAGAATGTGTACAGTACTGACAACAGCCTAACGTTAAAAAGAACGATAGTGAGTGAGTGAGCGAGTGAGTTTAGTTTTACGCCGCACTCAGCAATATTCCAGCTATATGGCAGCGGTCTGTATAAAATCGAGTCTGGACCAGGCAATCCAGTGATCAACAGCATGAGCAACGATCTTTGCAATTGGGAACCGATGACATGTGTCAACCAAGCCAGCGAGCCTGACCACCCGATCCCGTTAGTCGCCTCTTACGACAAGCATTGGTTACTGAAGGTTCATTCTAACCCAGACCTTCACGGGTCAAAAAGAACGATAGAAAATATTCTCCACTTTCGACAGCGAAATCACGAGACGAGACAGGTATGAATATTTTGCAATGTTTCAAGCGATCCTATTCCTTCGAGTGCTATAATTTCACTGAAATATCCCATATGTTCCAATGTAGCCATAATCGAACGTTTGATTTTCATCTATGTCACCAGAAAGTGGTTATATGTTTATACAGAGCCAATTTCACTCATACATGTTTCATTAATATCTTCATGCTCCATGTGTGTTTTTTTCAATCTATTTAAATATATCTAACTGTGTACCTCAGATAATCCAATAAGGATGAATGAAAATATATGGATGTATGGATACACCTCTTTATTACAGTGAGAGCGACGTTTCGGTGTAGGTTCTAACACCGTTATCAAGCACCGTGACTTGAAACGTCACCGAAACGTCGTTCTCACAGTACTATAGAAGTTGTTCATCCATATATTGTAATCCTTTCTTATTGATCCAACATCTAAATGCCTCTCAAAGAAGTTAAGATGGTCCAGACATTACCTCGCCTCCTTTTGTCGCTGTCTTATGAACGGTATGCTGTCCGTCTGGTACAAAGGTTTATGTCTCCAATCGCGTTTGTCCTAATAAGCCCATTAATGTGCCACCTCATTGTGTACAAGGCTGTATCCTTCAGAGGTAAAACATTCCTCCTATCTTACTGTCCGACAACTCCACTGTGGCCAACAGTTCACAGCCTTGCAACGTTCTTCACACATGCGACTGTTTCAAAGATATATATCGGTACATGTGTATCAGCTTAACGAGTGAATGACAGACATGGGTACGGAAAATACAAGGATCACAATCATACGAACTCTCAACAACTCTGCACAGCTGAGAGAAAATCCTCATTTTTGAAACTTTCTATGCTACAGCAAATGTGCAAATAGACAGATGTTACAGATGGGTCTCCAATGTATAACAACAAAGTACTTAAGCTATATGATGTGGGGGATGTAAACAACAGCACCGAAAGCTATGTACCATGTACCAATACGTGGTAGTAAAACATACATGGATGGATAGACTATTCCATATAGATTTTCTCAGAGCCTCAAATACCTTCTGTTGTAAACACTTTCAATATCGCTTCAGTGGTCTATTTCTCGTATCATCTGATCAAAATACTTGCCCGTCACTTCTATCCTTTTAGGTGTAGACAGGATAAGATTTGACTTCTGTTTGTTCAGGTATCAGTACGAGACTTTCGTACAACATTCCTACCAGCGTTTCGGGCCTGTGTCAAGGCCGGGACTTACAACATCATGTGCGGCTACAACAGGTACAACAGTGCGGTACCCCAAGCGGCAAGAACAAGAAATACACATAAAACTACAAACATCATAACAAAACGTAGTATCAGAATATTAATCACATCATACATTGTGCTTTAGAAGTTACTTTATTAGGTTTCCCACCGTGTTTTTGTAAATAGAAAGAAACCCACACTTGCCATTAACCCTGATGATGGAAAAAGCTAATCGTGAAAACCTCTCTAAAACATGGTTTGATGGTTCTGAACCAATTCCGTCAAAGCCTTTTAAATCAATTCTTCATTCATTATTTTATATACCTTTCTCTACACTGCTCCAGTGAACAATGAAAGCATTAATGCATGTGATTCAGAAGGGGACTCTGCGTTTTAGTTTCAACGGCACGCCATCATGTGCCAACCGTTGGCTCCTGACAGATGTTCTCAGGAACGAGCTGAACTTCACCGGATATGTCATCAGTGACCAAGGAGCCATAGAGAGAATCATGACAACACACCACTACCTCGACAACGGCGTCGACATTGCTGCAGCGTCTGTTAACGCTGGTGTCAATCTGGAATTAGCTGAGAACCTTCGACAGCCCTTCTTCACTTTAATCAGTAGGTAGCTTTTCCTATGTATATTCGATGTCGTTGCATCCCTATATGTCCAAATGAGGAACGAGGTCGCACGGTATTAGTAATACTATTCATGCAACGTTTGTTTTGGTGTTGTTTTCTTTGTTTGGGGCTTAGAAACAGCGTTAAAAAGACAAATAGGTATATAGACCCAACCCTAGTAGTATATAAAAGGAAAGGGATGTAACGGCGAAACTACCCTCTCCTCAATCAAAGTTAGATTTCACCACGTAAAATATTTTTAAGGCTCCGCCGAGGCCTACGGATCGAAAGCTAGATGGTTTCCCTACAAAATGAGCTATAACTGGTCACAATCGGATCATTATTTCAAAAAGTTATTCGCTACAACTCACCGAAAACAGCTACCTCCACAATTCCAAGCCAAAATCATGGATCAGCCAGGACAGCGAAAACTCCACCTTTTAAATTCGTTTATTAATTCCAGCCACGTTGACAGCAGCTATCTAGCGCTAGATTCGATCGGCGGCTTTATTCCACGGGTCTTGCATTACAGTACGCAGTACAGTAGTCTGCATACACATCTGTATATATATTCACCTACATGACAATGGCCATTCTGAATCAGCTTCTACCACTCTGTCAACAGCTGAAGCAGTCAAACAGGGCAAGCTCACGGAAGATTTGATTCGGGAGAGAGTGAAACCATTGTTTTATACCAGAATGAGGCTTGGTGAGTTTGATCCTCCGGAATCGAACCCGTACACTGAGCTGAACACGTCTACCATCGAGAGTGAGTCCCATAAAGCCCTGGCCGTTGAAGCAGCGATGAAAACCTACGTCTTGCTGAAGAACGTGAACAGCTTCCTCCCTTTGACAAAGAAATATAATTCTATTGGGGTACGGTTGTTTATAGGGATTATATATCGGATTACTTCATTTCATTCATTTTTCGCACACCCACGTGCAAAAGAATAATTTCTTTCTTGACCAATTAAGGATATAAAAATATAAATATATATATTAATATACGTACACAAATACATCTGAAAGAGAGGCTGTGTACAGTTACAAATAATGCAATTTCATACTGCGTATTTTGTTCTGATGGTCAAATCAAAATTGTCAAAAGTGTAATCAGAAACCTTTCGTCAGTTTTCCAATGCCACACTATCATTTACTGTGATTCCTCCTCTAGGTGGTAGGTCCTATCGCCAACGACAAAGTCAACATATTTGGCGACTACTCCCCCGACAGTGACCCTCGGTTTACCATGACAGCCCTGGATGGCATCAAACAGTTGTCCTCAAACGTCCAATATGGCGCCGGCTGCTCGAACACTTCCTGCACAAACTACAACTCTTCCGCTGTTCATGACGCTGTGTCTGGAAAAGATTTGGTGTTTGTTTGCTTGGGCACTGGTATGTAACAGAACTAGTACCATTTCCTTTATTGTTGATTGTCTGTATCGAATAACAAGGTCAATGGAATTAGTGTATATTCAACAGGACTTGTAATATAACTGAAACGGGTGTTCTGATTTCCCGTAACATCTTAGCTTGTGTTGCTGCTAATGAGTAACAGGGATTTCTTGGGGGTGATTGGTTTTGTACAGTTGTGTATCTACTCCTGGTTTTGTTTATCACAGAATTGTATCGATGCTTGTTTGATATATTTAGATAACTGATAATTTTATAAATAAAGAGGTGTCGTCAATGTATTTTTAAAGTGCCCCCTTATCTTGATCTCGCTCGCTGTATCAGAAGCACATAAAGGCGAACGTTATCTCATATATTTCACTTATGTTTTTACACATATGGCGATAGTTACACTGTGACTCCTTTTTACAAGGTCAAGAGATTGAGAGTGAAGCACGTGACAGACCAAACATTGAACTTCCTGCAGGGCAAGCCGAACTATTACAAGATTCACTGAAATTCAGTGAGTGTCCTCAGATTTTACTACATTGATAGTCTCGGTGTTAAAATAATAATGTGTTCGGTAGCATTCACTACAAACCAGTTCCTTTGTCTGACAAATACCCCAGATACCTCAATAGATAAATATTTATACCATCCTACTGGCGTTGAGCAATGTGCGTGTCATTTTCCAATTACTTTCCGTTTTGTTATTCACCAGATTTAGATTAAACTGTACACGAAGATTACGGCAGCATTCAATACGTGCAAAGCATTACATGTTTTACCATTTCACTCCTGATTTTTCACAGGCGGCAATACGCCAGTCGTCCTTCTGATGTTCAATGCCGGTCCTCTGAACATTACCATGGCAGATGCCAGTCCTCAGGTTGCCGCCATCTTGGAATGTTTCTTCCCTGCTCAGGCTACAGGAGAAGCTCTGCGTCGAGTGCTCACCATGGATGGACCTGGTTCGGTTCCTGCAGCCAGACTGCCCTACACATGGCCTAAGAGTCTTGATGGGGTGAGTGAAGTTTCATTTCCCTGTACAGTGTTGACATATGTTGCCTCAGTCAAAAGGTTCCAGCATTGGTCCTCAATACCCTACACCTTTACCCAGACACAAAATTACACCAGGCAACACAGTGAGTAAATCAGTTATTGATCAAGCATTGTGCATTGTTAATATTAACATGTTGATCGGCATAAGTACATATAAAGTATGTACATACAAGATACATACAAAATAATTAGATTTGGAAAAAGACACCTCCAGACGTTCCTTGGAGAGTTTGCCAGAGTATACCATGCATTTCAAAGAGAGAAGAGTACATTGGACCGAGCACTGTGATTTGACCGATTTTCTACGATCGCTTCCGATGTCCGCGACAGTTACTAATTATGTAATGGCTGTTGTGGTAGGATTTGAACATTAAATAATGTGAGGCCCCCAAATAGCTGTCAAAGTAAGCTGAAATGTATTCATTCCAGTTTCCAGCCATGACAAACTACTCAATGGCCGGGAGAACATACAGATACTACGAGGACGACCCATTGTACCCTTTCGGCTATGGCCTTTCCTACACTGAGTTCTTTTACATCACGCTTCAGTACTCCTATACCATAAAGGCAGGGGCAGATGTCGAGGTCTCCATTCTGCTGCAGAACATAGGGAAATATGAGGGTGATGAGGTCAGTGGAATCTGCTTGAGCCTTTCCTTTAGCGTCGTTCCCTTGTGAAACTGGTGGTTATTTCCAGAAGACCGATAAGCTTGACTCCTAATTTGTTCAATGATCTACTAAAATGGATGTGTGTGTGTGTGTGTGTGTGTGTGTGTGTGTGTGTGTGTGTGTTTTGACTAATCGATTTCTGTCCCACTCATATTTTTGAATAGTTGAAGATGAAAACTGATGAAGTGTCTCTATACATTGATGAACTGCAAACAGTTACACTAAACATGTCCGAAACGTCATTACAAGAGACGGAAATAGATGCTCCTCCAACACCACCGCATGTTATCTGCTTCACATTAGATTCGTCAACATGTACAGTTACGAATTCCTTAAAAGTAAACGGCAACACCTCTCTTTTCATAACGGTTAGATGAGAGATACTGTTGTTGAGTTATTCTGGGCAGAGAGAAATAGATGCCCCTTCACCGCGAATACCAAGAATCAGGACCAGACGTCATGACCTCCAGTACCAATATACATTCATACATCAACTGATAGAATTTGCAAATCGTGACACCTCTGTTATCAAGTAGATAGAGTTTTGGCTGTCAGAGAAGAATGTCGGCGGGTCGATCATCGGGCACGTCACTCGGAAGGAACATAAAAGATGGCGCTTGTATTTACCCTGCCTGTTCCCATAACAAAGCAATGACCGTTCGGCTCGGAGTCAGTATACTGTGGTAGAGTAGGGTATGGAGTGTGGGCTGGCACCATGAAACCGTCAATAGTTCAGGACAAGTTCAAGTACCCACACACATACAAACACATGTGCACCTAAACAGATATATAGCACACCCGCTCTCGCTCACGCACACACTCTAAACCTAATATCCCATTTCACGCCACCAAGTGATATATTCAGAATTCAAAGACAACTCTGTCGTACGTGATTTAATGTCATATAGTTATGTGAGATCATGACACTATTGTTTGCTTGACACTATTGGGAATGGTTATCAACTTGTGATGAGGTAAAATGTTTGGTCAAAGGGTAAACACAACAATTCCGCAAAACCGTTGTGATATGGAGATGTGTCATTAGACTAATGTCAATGGTTACTGATTGACCAATTGATACAACGATTGGTCAAAAGGTCAAATTTCTTCTTTGCAGGTTGTTCAGGTATATATATCCTGGGACAACGCCAGTGTGCCAGTTCCACGGCGACAGCTGGTTGCTTTTGAGCGTGTCACCATTGCTGCCAATGCTTTCCAAGTGGTTAACGTGACGGTGTCAGCAGAGAGCATGGCCGTTTGGGTGGATAACTCGGGGTGGGTGATAGAGCCAGGTGAGTGACCCTTGTGGGTACTGGTATATACTGTACCTCTGTTTACATGCCATGTACACTGTGCCTCTAACGCTGACGACCTAGGTGTAGATGCAATTCTATAGTTCACTGCACTGGTGACAACCCTTGGCTGGTGATTTAACAGAAAAAATAGTCTTTACATTTCAAAATATATGAGAATATTTCTTTTACTTATATGTGATTAGAATTGGTCTTCAGCAATGGGGTCGGGATCGGGTGGTCAGGATTGCTTTTGGTGGATGTCTTCCTATCACAATGTCAATACTCAGGATATCCCTCTCTTGATTGTCCTGTCCAAACTTGACTATACAATGCCATTTCAGAGTGCCCTGGGGCTATGGTTGTGGGGTCAGCGAGTCTCGGAGTAAAGATCATAATGGTTTGAGGGTAGAAAGCAAAACTACAGGCAGATCAAGGCAGATCTTGACTAATATATGAATTGGCCCTTTCAACCTTCTGCTTATATTAAGCTCAACCCACGCCACATCACTAAACATGTCCGCTGTAACAAAACAAAAACATTTGCGTTTGTTTTGCCATCTTATTTTTTCTCACGGGAGAATATAGATAAAGTATCTGTGTCTTCTTAAATATGATACATTTGATCTTGCTTGGACATACCGTCACATGATGTAATGTCCTAGCTGGTTGTCTACAGAAACAAGAATGGAGCACTTCATATCGCCGGCACGGTCGTAATGTCTCGTCCAATAATAAAGACTTCATAGCGTCTCAATCTTTTTTTGTTTAACTTACAATTCAATTCCCTATATCTTTTAGCTAATCGAATGACCGTTTGTAGTCTGGTGCAAGCCATGATCACTTTGCTGAACGAACCATCGTACTCTTCTTTACAGTAAAGGTCTTGGAACCTTTTTTCCCCAAAATTATTGTAAAAAGGAGGTTTGTACATATTTAGGAGACAAATACTTCTAAACATGTAACTGCGTATACACTTGTATAAGACTATCTAGCAGTTAACAAACAATGATATGCATCTGGCTGTGACCTGTTTAAAGCATGGGGACTAGTTGCCCAGTTCACTACATTGACTACTGAGACTACTTTGAAGTTATGGAGAGGGGTGAGGATGTCCCATTACGATTTATAGGTATTGAACAAACGTAAAAAATACAACACTGAAAACACCAAGGATTTTTTCGTCATTTACCAACACGATAATCCTCTTCAGGTTACATCCGATTGTTTGTTGGTGGTCAGCAACCAAGTCAACAAAAGTCTGCACCATCACGAGTGCTGGAAGGTGGATTCAAAGTCGAGGGTTCCAAGTATCTTGGTGTGTACTAAGACAAATACTCGTTGCGTCAATAAAATATGGCATGTTTCCGAAAACAGTCACAACTATTATTCCGTTATATCTTTCTTGTCTATCACAAATATACGATTATGTCGAGTACATAAAGGTTGCAACAGGTGACGTAGGAGTTTCATAATTCGGGCAAAACGCCTGTCTATATCGTCTACTAAAGGACGTATTTATTGCCATCCACACACAAAACGGAAATGTGATATCACCCAAATGATCTGATCAATGCAATGGCCGAGGATTTGATGGTTTCGGAGTGGATGTGAAGCCTTGAATATATTGTTTTTATACAATCAGAACAATGTTACAAAATACATGAAAACATGCAACTATTGTTTCAGTGGGGCGATTATTACAAAGGAAAAGTCTAAATATTTTCAAGACAACCATGTTTAACGGGCAATTGAGAGTTTGGACTAAAACCTTAGCACAAATTAGTTTATTTCCTCATTTCTTCGCCATTTTCCCAATCAAATTTTTGCCTGTAAAGCAGCTTGGGTGGACAAAAATGATGTTAACCATCCTTCAGGAGGTCAATCCCTACATCGGATTCTATTTAAGAGGAGGCTACTCACTCATTTCAGTGTAGTAAAAAGGGTCTTGAAGTTTTACCCAAGCGCCAATAGCAGGACAAAAGCAAATACTGACGCCATCCACAGGTACAGAACAACGAAGGCATGACTCTATGACTTAATGGAGATCAAATGCTACTTGTTTTGGGTCAATGGAAATATCTGTATGTACCTTGGGATTCTGTCCAGTGGTTTCCTGGAATTGTGATGGGTTACCATCTTAAATTGCTCTGTTACCTAGATAACATCGCAACCCAGAATTTTATGTCTGGCTAACGTCTGCCGATGAATTATGTTACTATGATCTGGAGTGAACTGATCATGTTCGCCTTTGTCATGGTGATATGGACACGTGGATACGAGCTTCAACCCCCATCAACTTTATTCGCCAGATCTGGCTACAGGCAGTTTCTTTCTACAACACAAACATATGTAAGTAAACTGAAGAAGAGTATATGAGAAAGTATATTGAAATACAAGGAGTACGCTATTTCGGTTCTAACATATCGTACAAAAGAAAATGTTTCTCTTATTAATCATGTGTTTAATGTTCGATTGGACTTATCTTTAGTGAGCAATATTAGATAAAGAAAAATTTACTGGCGCTTGAAAGTATCATAATTCACAACTGATGTACTTATTTTAGAATATTTTCTTTGCTCATCAATAAATTTCAAACATGGTACGGGTCATATGGTTGCATATTCATTTCGTACCCTAGTTTTCATTGAATCATCTGTTTTAGTGCTTAGAAAGATGTTGCGGGTCTTTTAAAATCTCTCCTAGGGACACTAGTTATTTGGCATGTTCACGATTTTACAATCTTTACCCCCAAGTGTGAAATGAAAGTGTGTGCTCTTAAGCACCCAGATAGTAACTTGTTAGGAATAAACTGAATATTAACAAAACCATTAAGAAGTTGACACTGAACAATAGTTAACATGATTTCTTAAGCACTCATTGGTGTTGAGTTCATTGATCGATGATATTGGTTTGGAACTGTGATTGATGGTATGACAAACAGCTTGTATAATGGTGGTTGATTGATGGTGTATTGTCAGCAAAGAAATATTACATCTTTATCTACAATTATGAAAATTAAATATTGCCAGCGGACTATGTTTGAAACGATGATGTCATTATGCTTGTCTTTTTATTCACTGTCATCTTCCAGGGACATGGTGCTAGAGGCCAAGGTCAAAGCAATACCTGCTTATCTGATAATTGTTTTACATTCTGCGAGCAAGCTGGACCTCGGTAGAAAGACGTACACGTGTTATCATGAATTGTCTTTCATTTGGATTTGTCCTAATCCTCCAATGCCTCTTTGTGTTAGGGGATTATCCCTTCAGAAACACATCCCTACCCTGGGATGCGAGGGTAGAGGACCTTGTCGGGCGCCTCACCCTGGAAGAGATGCAAGAACAGATGGCCCGAGGGGGGCGTGGGAATTTGGGTGGACCCGCTCCCCCTATCCCCCGTCTTGGTATTGGCCCCTACTCCTGGAACACCGAATGTTTGAGGGGGGATGTGGGGGCCGGAAATGCCACCTCCTTCCCCCAAGCTCTGGGTCTAGCTGCAGCCTTCAGGTAGGAGTCTGATAGGGTGGATTCAGTTTCTATTGATGATCATCTATGAATATCGTAGGGGCACGTTTAACACAAATAAAAAATGGAGGAAAGAGGAATACAAAAATGTAGGAGAGAGGTGACTCTGGCCAGTATGTATACAATCACTTGGCTTTGAGTTGGCAACATTAGTCGAAGGATACCTTATCAGAGCTATGGAATTTTGCAAACGATAAAGTGCTCAGGAATTTTATTTCGGAATCCTTTTCTAAGGAGGTTGGAGATATAGATACAATATAGAAATACGAACTAAAAAGGATTACTCGGAGAAAATTGAAAACGTTATTTTTGTGTGTGTGTGTGTGAATTATTATGCGAACTAAATTGTGTAGTTTTAATACGTTAGTGATATTTTGTAACATGTCTTTGTCGTTTATATTAATATGACATAAACGGTGAACTATGGACTGTGTAGTCAGACAAAAAGGTAAACTTTATTTTTAATCAATTTCGAAACTTTCAATTTTAAATATTTATAGCCGTGATGTTTCCATTATTGTTTGATGTTCAGCATTTCCATTCTATTAATGTCGTGCCGCCGTACCTGGTTGTATGGTCATTCAGCTCGCTTTCAGAGGACATGAAATTTCCAAAAGTGTATATTCACAGTAAGGACCTTATATACCGGATTGCTGAGGCAACTAGTGTTGAAGTACGGGGTAAATATAACGACTACATCAGCAAAAAGGAGTACGGCGACCACAAAGGCATCAGTTGCTTCAGCCCCGTCATCAACATCATGAGGGACCCCAGATGGGGACGAAACCAGGTCCAACTTTCTCATCTCTTCGTCGTTATATCTTGAATTGTTACGGTGCAAATATAATGTTTCATTCCGATGAGATTATGCCTGGTCAAGATCATGACTGAATTAGCTAGGTTAAATATTTTGGGTGAAACTAGAATGTTTCAGAATGAAAGTGAAACACCTTCTTACATCTGCCGCATGGAGACATACTGACAGAGAATACTTCACAAACATAGGTGACCCAGTGTTATGCACGTTATGAAAGTTAAATAGTGTTTCGTCTTCAGAGGAATCTTTAATAAATGACAAACTGTGAAAGCTTCTTCACTCGAATTTGATATGGATAGGTTCTTGAAGGTTCACCCAGGTCTTCCGGCTAATGAAGTGTTCTGTGATATATTGTGGCTGGTTTGCATCCTGTTGTTTCAAGTAATATGACAAAATACTTTCTGAGTTTAGGAGAGTTATGGAGAAGATCCTTACATGTCCGGTGTCCTTGCCACCATGTTTGTGAAGGGACTGCAAGGTCACGACTCGCGCTACATCAGAGCGAACGCTGGCTGCAAACACTTCGACGCCTACGGAGGACCAGACAGCATTCCCGTACAAAGACATAACTTTTCAGCCGTAGTGGGTATCATTGTTTTATACTTACGTCCACTAAAGGGACCAAATTGCTTCACGAAACGTGTGAAAAGTATCTGTGCATGAAAAACATCACAGTGTAAAAAGACATTTTCCATCTTTCGTACAGCGAAATCGGTGGTATCTATTGCTCACATAACGTCACAGGGATAGACGCGTGTGAAATATTCTATAATTATACATAAGTCACTGCTATTAATTAAAATTCCATATGTTTATCTGATACAAATCAGATGTTATTAGGCATGCAAAACTCAACGTGTGGGTTCGTGGTGACTTTGTTGACTTTGAGTAGTTTTAAATATTTTCAGCTAAGCATAGTTCAGTGACCCTGATATGTACTATATATACATTTACTATCTTATCTTTCACGGGAGGATAGTCAACACAGTACTTCGCCTTCGTTTGTCACACAGAGAGTAGGATAGACCGTCAGTGGGTCAAAACGTTTCGATACCTTAATATCCAACAATTGGGCATGTTACAACGGCAAAGAGTTCCTTTACTGTGGAAAACAACCGGCAACCTTGGTTGTTGTTGTCGTTGGTTTGTTGTTTAACGCCGTGCTCAGCAATATTCCAGCTATATGGAGGCAATATGTAAATAATCAAGTGGACCAGACAATCCAGTGATCAACAGCATAAGCATCGATCTACGCAGTTGGGATACGATGACATGTGTCCACCAGCCCGGCGGGCCGGAACACCCGATCCCGTTAGTTGTCTCTTACGACAAGCATGGGTTACTGAAGATCAATTCTAGCCCGCATCTTCATGGGTTGACAGCCTTAGTGATGTCCTCGATATGTGTGTGGCCTTCGCAACGACGATCTGTTTTTGTTTTTAAGGCACCCATAAAGGACCATAACATTTAATCGGTTTCAAATTATCGTCTAGCAGCTCTGCACAAAAGAATATTTTCAGGGTGTACTTACCAACCATAGACTAGGTGTTTAGGGCATACGAGGATAGTAGTTATGGTGAAACCTGTGTGAAATGTAACTTGCCAAATGTTAATGTTTTTGAGTTTATGTCTTAAAATCGCATGCTAATTTGGCAAGTGCCAATACATGGATAACACTGAAGACGCATTTCAATATTGAACAAAATTGATCTCAGAACATAATGTGAAGCCTTCTTTCACTTTCAATGCTCATTCTGCCGTCGATATCCAGTATATATAGTGTCACCTTGTCTGAATATGTGTAAGTCATTATGATGGTTAGAGTTGAGTGATATATGCCTCCTGTGATATATGCCTCCTGTTTCTACAGGTATCAGTACGAGACTGGCGTACAACATTCCTACCAGCGTTTCGGGCGTGTGTCCAAGCCGGGACTTACAACATCATGTGCAGCTACAACAGGTACATCTCTGGTCATGGTGCTCGTGAACATGAAGCGGCATGTAAATAACATCTATGTAAAACGTGTTTAATAAAACTAGTAG